TACTTTTAAAGTTTCTTTTACCAATAATTCTGCATTGCCAGGCAGTCAGCCTTCCGGCGATCCTTTGGTTTGTTTCGTCTCCCGAAGGGATTACCAGCTTGGAGAGATTGTCTCGGCAGGAACACTTGGCTGGGATCTGGCCGTTTTGAGATGTCGTTGGTGTATACTAAGCATCACTACCTCTTCTGGATTGTTTCTGCTTTTTGATTCTGGTGAAGAACCACATCGACTAAAAATTTCTCCATTTTTCAAAATATTTTTTTTCGTTCATCAGTTCTACTTGTAGTGCATTCAGCATAGTCTAGGATTCCCGTGTATTTCACTGTATGTGAAAGGCGAAGACACTGGAAAGTGGCCCAAATAATTTGTTAACATGGTCATCAGTGGTTCTCTTTTTGCTTGAAAAGTAAGCTCAGGGTTAACTGACTTCTTGGATGCAAATTAGCCCAACTTACTGGAGCTTCAGAATAGGCACGCCACTTACTGTTGCGCCGGTATTGTTGTATATGCTTGTCTTTTTAGTTATATTTATTCAAGCCGAAAATGTCAAAGCCCCCTTCCTATTCACTCTTCCTGAGAGGCTGAGGCATTCGCAAGTAGTCCGATGGTAGTACGTCCCAAAAGCAGCCACCCATTTGCACAGTCCTCGATAACCATTTATTTCGAGAATTACTCAAAAGTAAAATGATGGCGATTTTATTCTTCCTGAGTGCGGAAAATTTTATATGGTTCAGGCTGACCATTTCGAGTTCGGCAAAGTGCTTCTCGATTTACTTTAGTTCCTGTGCTTTAGAGGGATTTTAATTGCAGTTTCTTTTTTATGCGTTTTTGCATAATACGCAAAAACACATATTGTGACGACCCCGGTGTGTGTGTGTGAGTATGTGTGTGTGTGTGTGTGTGTGTGCGTGTTTGTGCGTGTGTGTATGTGTGCGCGTGTCTGTCCGGGTATTTCAACTCGGCACCCAAGCAAGCTCCGGCACCAGAATTTTGCGAGTGGGTTCCCCGGCCAAGTGCCACCCCAGGACCGCGGTACCAACCCTCAAGTACGTCTAGGCCCCGCGTAGGAGCGCCTCAAAGTTTTGGCGGGAAAATCGCTAACTCGAGGACCAGAAAAGCTAGAAAGCTGAAAT